CCCCGGTGGCTTTTCTTTCTCCCCCCCCCCCCCCGATTTACCTAGGTGTATATGCGTTTCCGAGCGCTCTTCGCTGATTGGACGAGGTGTTCTTGATGTGCTTGTCTCTCAGTCAGCATTGTGTTTCTGCACTCAATGAGTAGTTCCTGGCATTTGTTGTAGAGCATCAGGTCTCACATGTGCTGGTCGCCATGTCTTCATTGTTTTCCTTATGAGTCTGACCGGCTCTGGCGACATCTATGGAGCTGGACATGGTGTATGCGCTGGGATTCTGTGAAGGTGTTGTTGAATAAGGGTTTTCGGGTTTCTAACAAGATACCTTCCGAACTGTGTGATCCCTCGGCTTCCTAATTCATTCCTTTTACACTTTCTGGCATGATCTCACTGACAGCTTTCCAGCTAATTGGAAATGCACTTTTAGGCATGCATTGGCCGATTCGGGTTCCAGCAGCTTCCACCGATTGAGTTGAGGTGACAAACACCAGGTCTAGTATTCATACATGATCGTTGCCCCGAGCAACGTATCAGTGGTTCAACCACATTTTGCAGTAGTGCTTTCTCAACCACCTACCCTATAAACGGAACTACTGGAGACGTTGGTGAACCCTGTCAAACGAAGGATGACCAGCCTACGAGCTGAAATCAGCCGAATTCACCGACCATATCGGCCCACCAGGTTCATCCGTCTCGGACCTGTCTTACAGGCATTTCTTCAATTCAGATTTCGTCCTTCAAGTGAATCCAGTCTGTGCTGAAAGTCAAGAAGCACTGTAAGGCCATTTTATCCTTATTAGGATTCATTAGTAGTATGCATCTCACAAAACTCAAGGGAGCTAATGAACCCCGGCCTCTGCTAATATTTCGAACGCCTGACCGTTCGGTCACAAGCGGTTGATCAGCAGCGTGACTAACTCGCACTTAGACGGGATCTAGCATCACTAATCCTTCAATCACGTGCTAGTCTTGGTGCACAGGACATTTACCTAGACTAGACTCACGTGAAAGTAAACTTAGCGATCTCTTCTTGGATCCAGTGTCATTCCTTACGAAGTTCTCAGCAAACTGCACGAGATAACAAGAAACAGGACGTTCAATATAGTCACTATTTCATCTTCTGTAAAACTAAGGAGACAAATAGGCCGATAAGACAGATTACAATTGTTCGCAGTGTGCTGCCCATAAAATACTTCTGAAATTTTAATGGACAGGTGCCTAACCATATGAGTCGCTCGTCTGCTCCGAAAGGAAATCTAACCCTTGTATGTTTTAAAGTCTGGTTTATTTCGACCTCAGGGCTGAACGTATCTGGATATTCAGGCTCAAGAGAAGCCTAAATGGATCAGACAGGAGATCCCTCCTAATGGAGTAAAACTGTAATAATCGCACTGTTGTTGCGTCACTTTATTTAATTTTATAACCAAGCACAAGGATTTCATCCCATCGAGGGAGAAGTGAACATACATACATTGAAAAGTACTTCCGGGTCTTATTCCGCTCCCGGATTTCCAAATAGTTTTGTCTTTTTTTATCAATATTCCATATTTCGCCTTGAGCGCCACCACCAACATCCGGTCGCTGTTTAGATGGCGATCCTCAGATGTTTCTACCGTGCGGGTCAAGAGCATGGTCTTAACCTCCCAGCAGCTCTTGGTGATTCTTCCGTAAATCCAACATTATATGGAATAGTATCCCAACCTTGGATTCTGCTGCATCCAGCTGCTATCCCACTCCAGAGCCTTAGTTTCGTCTTAGTTTCGCCAACAAGGAACAAACAGCTATATCGCGAATAAGCAAGTGCAAAAGTGACAAGGGTCTCCACGCTATTTAATGGGGATTTTTGCATTGATCCAGGCTGTCTGATTGGCGTTTGGGAAACACTCATCATTGTGGACTGTCGGTAGTACTTGTGCGAAACGCCTGAACACTTGTCGGCCGTTGCTGAATAGATTGATCGATTGACTGACCTGGATGCTTGCCAGCTTCCCTAGTGAGTTTTCTGGTGGGGCTTGGGGGTCTCAGTAGGTTTCGGGCATTCTGGCATTATTTTCAGGAATCAGATCTTTCTGACAAATCCCTTTTACTTGTGGTCCAGGTAACGTGATTGTACTGACAAGCAGTAAAGAAAGGTGATTCATTCCCTGGTCACTGGCAAAAATCTATACAGTATAACACAATTATCGTGGAACACATCATCATGCAGCCCTTAAGGCCTGATTATTCGGAATCCAATCGAACGGGTACCACTTCAGGTTGGAACTTATCGGCACGTCTATCAGACTAAACGTGGCATTAGCTTGCACTCACAACAAAAATAAGTGCATGTGTAATCGATCAGCGTGAACTGTATGGAATTCACACGTAATGCACCTTTTAATCTATGGTTGAGTAATGAAAACCAACGGGCGAATCTGGAAGCCAGTCAACGGAACCGTCACAGCAGTTCACCCTCGGGATGAGTAAAATTGACGAACTCATTACCGTTTGTTGTCTAGTATTGTTCGGTATCGTGACCCTAAAAACGAATCACGTGACGGCGCTGATACCAGAGCAATGTGCACATAATGTGAGCCAACCTTTTTCAACCTGCTGTCCCACCGATCCATTCAATCATCTGGTCTGTGGGGGTCCAGAACGTGGATCTTGTCAACATCTCACTATCCACAGAGAGTATGTACCAAGGGTGTTCCTAATGGATGATCGAATGTTTTGGCCAACACGGTTCTTCGACCACTTGTGTCACTGCAAGGATAACTTCTACGGTGTAGCTTGTGAGCAATGCTGGTTTGGCTGGACTGGACCGCACTGTGACCAGAGAGAAATCAGAATACGGCGTAACATTCGATCTCTGTCGGAAGATGAACTCGAACTATTCAAAGATGTCATGTATCGTAGTCAGACGTGGCCATCTGGTTTTTGGGTACTGGACGAAGCAACAAACAACCGATCTGATCCATTATTCAAGCCGCGATTTAAATCAGCCAGTGTGCAATATTGGGCAGCATTCATACATCGATATGGCGCACGGCCCACTTTGTACGAGACAGAAGAAGAGTGCTCACGTTTCGGGATTTTGAATTTTAGTCATGATGGTGTGACGTTCCCAACGTGGCATCGGTACTTTCAGCTGATATGGGAACGAATGTTGAGCAAAATTGCACTTGAGGTTCATGGTATACACAACTTTGCAGTGCCCTATTGGGATGTGATTGGCCTTGAAAAATGTGATATCTGTAATGATGAATACGTTGGAGGACCAGGACACACCGACCGGTATGGCGTTCATCTGTCCGCGAACTCAGCGTTTACCGGGTTCAAAGAATATTGCTTGGAGCCTGAAGGAGATGAGGTGTGTTTTGGTTGTCAGGGCACAAAACCCACTACAACAATCACGAGACAATTCTTGACCAATGCGTTTCCGAATCAAGAGGATCTCTATTTCACATTGAACTTGAAAGAGTAAGTACACTTTTTATGCAGTGTGTGTGGGATTGATTGCAGCATAAATCGTAGTTGTTCAGCGGTACAGTACGCGATTGTAGCAGTTGTATCACACTGGCTTAGGCCTCATATATGCAGAGTTTCCTGTTCTCGTATGTAATCAGCTAACGCAAAGAGGGTGTATTTGTTCATATTGATCAAATGAAATTCCGTGTAAAGGTAGACGAACACGCCTCAATGCACTGGAAGCGCTCCGTTATACCACACATATCAGGCCTCCTCTCTGCTTAGAGCACTAGAGCTTGAAATGTCCATTCCACTGCCCGGATGGCTATCAAAAACTTTGCAATTAAGTGTACACACTTCGGGAAATGTCACCACACAAACCGAGGGAGTATGAAGCACTCATCAAATCTAAAAAAGTGCACATCTAAGTACTAAGTGCCCTTGTTTCAGAAGGGTCTGATAGGCAGTCACTGGATGCGTCTCGGGCTTATCCACGAGAAAACTGCTGAACTTAAACACTCGATGGGGTTTCTTCCAGTCATTAGCATAATTTTTGGCACACAGGCGGCCTGGTTACTCAGTTATGATCGAATGGCGCGGAACTCAAAGTAGGCTTCTAGTAAATATCAATGCTATAATAGGTGTAGTATGAATCCGAATTCATTCATTCCTTGTTGCAGTAAAGATTAGAAAGCAGTCAGTGTTTTTTATAGCGGGCAAACGACCGGACGTCTGTTGAGGCTTGATCAGCAGATTTAGTCGCTGTGGTAACTACCGTCTCTCAGGCTCAAGGTATAGCGACAGCACACATGGTACACTCATGCCCATTCGTACTCCGGTGACTGAGCTCTCGCATCAAATGTGAAGCTGTCTCAACTCTCGCTTAATAAAAAATAGAAACTACCCGGCTTCCTTCAGGTAGCTAAAAAACCAAATTCACTGCGTGACTTTTTTTCCATTTTTCGTTGTTGCTGGGGCAGTTTTTAGATCAGACTTCTTATCGGAGTTACGAAGGCTAAAAACACAAGGAATTAGCCGAAATAACTTACGCGCATAGGAGACCGAAAAACAGACCAGAGTGCATGACTCTAATGTGGGCAAGCAAGTGTGCTGAAGAAGCAATATTTTGTTCACAGTTCAAAACATTTGGTCTATGACAGTCGTACTGATAGAAGGTATGTCACGGGATACTAACACCTCCATTGCAGAAATAGGGTAGTCCTAAGGGAGTCGCTTATCGCGGTCCCAGGATATTTTCCATTGAATTGATGATCAAAATGCTGACCTCGGAAAAGGGGACAACGTGGCCTTATTGTTCCATTTTTCAGAAATCGGAGAATGAAAACACTGTTTGCACTGGGTAACTGGTCCCCCTTACGCCTTGACAAGCTTTGCTCTGCTGTCAACTCCGGTATACATTCTTGTGACTACATAATGAGCTTAGCAACTAAACTTTCCCTAAAAGGTTTGCCACGTAGCTTGCACGCAATACAGTAAATCACAAGAATTCTTTGATGTGAGCTCAACGGTGATTGTCTAGCTTTTGAATCAATGCTAAAAAGATTTCAAAGTAATGTGTACTCATGAGCTCGAGTAAAGTCCAACAGTAAGGGTGATGATGGGGTAACTGAATTTCCCAGGTCCCAACAAGCTCATTTTAAGAAACATGAGAGCTTTCTTTCGGTCCAAAGAGAAATGAAAATCGTCTAGCTTAGTAGACGGAACATTATGGAACCCGGCTTAACTTACAAAAGACCGTCAAAGGTTGACAGCTCAAAGTTGGCATTATAGTTGAAAAATGATGAACCCGCCGGGTTTCACACGCTGTTTCCTGAAGTCACATTCGCAAACCATGTGAGTATCTGTTTACACACATTTTAATCGCACTGTTAAGCGCAGTACGTGGAGTATTCTAGCCTCAACCCAAACATCTCATGAATCTACGCAGGTCTAGTATGCTCTACGGAAGTTCAGTACACGCAAACCATACTTGTTCACGTGGCGATCTTAAATGATAACTCCACTTTCGCTCCGGTAGTCAAATAGGCCCACATTTTAGGATAAAATCCATTAAATCATTCCGATAATCTAGGAATGGGAAAACGCCAAAATGTTGACAATTCAGGCAAGTTCCATCTAGTCCGCCATTCCTACTCCGTTAGTTGGTATAAATGTGTACGAGGCGAAAGATCATCCCTCCAATGCTGAGCATCTTTTGACTACGAGGGATGTGATAACTGACCAGTTTGTCAGAAAACTCAGCTTCATTACTTGTCGTAGATAATATTCTTCGTATGATATTACACCTGAGGACGAATAATAAACCGGCTGGGGAGAAGATGTAAGACATGCAACAACCAACCTACTTTAGGACCATCAGTTGAATCATTTAAAAAGGTTTCACGGAACATTAGGGAATTCAGGTCCCTAGTAAGCGCCTATGTTCGTTGTTTACTGTGCGAGACTTTCAAACGGCAGGATAATATATAATCCACACATAGGATATTTCATATGAAATCTAATGTTTGGCTTAAGCTTGATTCCTCTCTCGCATAAAACTAGGGATCTGGCCCATCTCTTTGGTGCATCGTGGGCGTCCGTCTATTGGTTACGCCTTCACTGAACCTGCCAGACTACGCGATACGGAGAAGACAGAGAACTCGGGACACGGCTGTATTGTCAGGACAAAACATAGAGAGCTTCTGCGTAAATATATGGGATGGCTACAGGGCCAAATATGGTCGTTCACTTGTTCGTTCTGTACAGCCAATGGCGGTGTTCCGGTCGTGAACACTTTCAGCCCCACTCCACTGGTCTCACGTTGCTACGCCGTGTTTGGTGAGCTCTGCCAACGCACCTGCTTTCCGGACGTGTCGTACTGATGGTGACCTTGGGGATACGTCACTCTCTGCACATGTACTTTTTCCATGTCTGGGCGCGTCCTGATGCTCTTCGACTAGGGTCTGACCAGAAAAGGCCAATCTGGCCAAATCTCACGGCCATTTCCTTTCCGAAGGAGGGACCAGCCCACATGTAGGAATGTGTTACCAGGTTTTCTTGCTTGTGAAGGGCGAGAAAGATCTTTGATGACTGTCCGCAGAAGATTCGTGCCGGCACTCGTATGTCGTTCAATTTAGATACATGCTAGATATCAACCGAACACGCCATTCAGTTTTCAGCATCTGTAACACGCAATCATTGTATGATGCAACAGGAACCATGAATCTGAAGGGAAATGACTAGTTACTACTATGAAAAGACAGTAAAAGTTATAAAGTTGATGTATTCAACTTGAAATACCGAGTAATCATTGAACGAATCTATGGAGGTTGAAATCATGATCTAATTTTTGTACGGTTTTCAGCAAAAATTTCAAATCGAATTAACTGACCGCAAAAATTACCTTTAGTCCAGAAAATTTTGTGTCGGCTTTGCAGACTATCTAGAAATGTTTCTCTCATGACGGCTGTGAGTGGGGGTGTACTTCTCAGTAAAATGTTTCATGACTATTTTCGAGAAATATAGTCATTTGCGAATCAGTTTGGTTTTCACGAGAGACTCAACTGAATCTCTCGTTTATGGTATTCTACAACTGGATGTGCTGCACACAGGCCACCTCATGTTTTGATTGACACGATATTCGATATTCATAAAGGAAACTACTCATTATCTTGGTCAATGCAGCCCGAATGTGTATGATTCCGGATGGAAGCCAACCAAAGCAGTTGAACAAAATTCATGGGCACATATGGAACAATCGGAAGCAGTAGATGTTAGAAAAGGTGGTAGTGCGCTGTTCTAACATTGTTTGGATTGCCATGTTCCATGATGGATTATTTAAGTGGACTTTTTGAATAACGTTATTCTGAAAAGTCCAAAAGCACAAAGCTATGAACCGTTATAGCAACTTCGTTGACTGGTTTCACAGTCTATGGGCTTTGTGAACTCGAAAGTCGTTCAAACCGAATAGATATAACCTTCCTTAGAGAAAAATGCAACCCCAAGCGTTGTCAGACAGATTAACCATGTTGTAAAGACACGCTTGTCCGTCGACACCAGAGTGATTCTATACTATACGTTACTATCACCTTCAATCCATCATAATCGGACCAACCCACCAAATTGATTCTGTTAATGTGTGAGTGTATTGTGGTGCTCGCTCTGTCCTTCGATGAGGGCTTGCGGAGCTGATCTTGTGGCTGAATTTCAGCTGTCACAACAGATCATCGGCACATCGTAGCCGGCCAACAACATAGCTGGGGCACAAGACGTGAATAGTCAATTACGCCGAATAATTTGACCAAAACGGATGAGGCATTCTATCTAATAGTGTGCACTGGTATTGAAGAGGGACGAGATAACACTTCAGAAGTCAACCGACAGCAAAAACCATTCCACATAGGTTCCGATGTAGTCACGCCATGAGACGACTGGCCGGTGACGAGCTGGTCCCTAGCCCATGCAGTAATTCAGGGGTGCGGACAGCACTGGCCTCCTCCCTCACCGTAAACTTGGTAAATTTCATACGGTCATTTGGGTGCTGGCAAAACCGCACCTCAAAAGCCGCACTTTACGCGCTTCGACAAGATCCGAGCTTTCAGTACGTCACCCAATCCGTGCCTTAGTTTGCTTCATGTTCGTGCTCGCGTACGCATCTGCGCGCGACGCACCATCGCGTGAACTCAATGAATGCTGCTCTCCGAGTGTATGGGTGACGCATTTGTTGTTGGGTTACAACAATGAACTGATGGGAGTGCCCTAAAAGATACGCGTTATGCTAGATGAGTTGAGGTCTGCCAGCGGTCAAATGGACATCAGTGCTCATGGTACGTCCCACCCACCTACTCTAGTCGAATAGCTAGGTTACCTACAGGAAATGCCTGACCTCGACTGTCCACTGGCTGGATGACCATGGCCGCTGACTGCTGATCACGGTACCCCTCAAGCTACTTTGACCCACAGTAGCTGGTTAGGAGACGAAATGGGAGCTCTACTGATGAAGATTGTGATAA